AGTTTTATTGAGAAATAATTGATATATATCAGTGTGTAAGTTTAAGGCAAGCAAGACAATGATTTGACTTACATATATTGTGAAATAATCACCTTAATAGGCTCAGCTAACATCTATCTTCTAATATAGAAGCAATAAGTTTTTTTAAAAAAGAAAATACTGTTTTCCTTTTGATGGTAACTCTCCAGATTTAGTCTTGCTACAATTTCCTCAATATTATACAGCAGTGTTAACTATGGCTGTTCTATTGTGCATTGCTGCTGCTGCTAAGTCGCTTCAGTCGTGTCCGACTCTGTGCGACCCCATAGACGGCAGCCCACCAGGCTCCCCCATCCCTGGGATTCTCCAGGTAAGAACACTGTAGTGGGTTGCCATTTCCTTCTCCAATTATTGTACATCATATCCTTAATAATTATTTATTTTATAACTAGAAATTTGTAACTTCTGACCACCTTCTTTCAATTTCCCCTGCCCCAAACTTGCCTCTGGTAACCAAAAGTCTGATCTCCTTTTCTATTAGTTTATTTTGTGTTTGCTGTTCACTCAGTCATGTCCAACTCTTTGCGACCCCAAGAACTACAGTACGCCAAACTTCCCTGTCCTTCACCATCTCCCAGAGATTGCTCAAACTCATGTCCATTGAATTGGTGATGCCATCCAACTGTCTCATCCTCTGTCATCCCCTTCTCCTGTCTTCAATCTTTCCCAGCATCAGGGTCTTTTCTAATGAGTCAGCTCTTTGAATCAGGTGGCCAAAGGACTTTGTGTTTAGATTTCACATATAAATGGATAGTGTTTGCCTTTCTCTGTCTGACTTATTTCGGGTAACATAGTACTTGCAAAGTTAATTCATGCTGTTGCAAATAGTGGGACTTTTTCTTTTTTTATGGTGGAATAATATTCCCTTTGTGTGTGCTAAGGCTCTTCAGCCATGTGTGACTCTTTGTGACCCTACAGACTGCAGCCCAGGCTCCTCTGTCCATGGGATTCTCCAGGGAAGAGTACTGACGTGGGCTGCTATGCCCTTCTCTGGCTTCTCTGGTAGCTCAGACGGTTAGGCGTCTGCCTGCAATGCGGGAGACCTGGATTCGATCCCTGGGTCAGGAAGATCCCCTGGAGAAGGAAACAGCAACCCACTCCAGTGCTCTTAACTGGAAAATTCCATGGACAGAGGAGCCTGGTAGGCTACAGTCCATGGGGATGCAAAGAGTAGGACACGACTGAGCAACTTCATTTTCTTTTCTTTCTTTCTATGCCCTTCTCCAGGGTATCTTTCCTACCCAAGGAGCAAACTGATTTCTTATGTCTCCTGCATTGGAAGGTGGGTTCTTTACCACTAGCACCACCTGTGAAGCCCAAAACTGTAAAACGAGAATGAAAAACATCCTGTCTTTTGTTTTCATCATTAAGGAATGAAACAACAGCCCTCCATTTTTTCTTTTTGATGGTGGAATAATATTCCCTTAGGGCTGCCCTGAGGCTTCCCTGGTGGCTCAGCAGTAAAGAACCAGCATGGGTTTGATCTCTGTTTTGGGAAGATCCCCTGGAGAAGGAAATGGTAGTCCAGTCCAATATTCTTGCCTGGGAAATCTCATGAACAGAGGAGCCTGGGAACTACAGTGCATGGGAACACAAAGGCTTGACTTAGCCACTAAAATAACAATATTCCCTTAAAGGATATATACCACAACTTCTTTATTCATTCAACAATGAACACAAGTTATTTTTATGTCTTAGATATTCAAAATAATGCTGCTATAAACATGGGAGTACAAATATGTTTTTAAGTTGGTGTTTTTATTTCCTTTGGATGATTCTCAGAAGTGGACTTGCTGTATCATATTGTAGTTCAATCTTTATTATTATTATTTTTTAGTATCCTTCATATTGTTTTCCATAATAACTGCATAAATTTACATTACCACAACGTTGCGTAATATTTCTCCCATCCCCCCTTTTCTTTTTTTTTTTTTTACCATATCTGTGCCAGAATTTGTTAGCTGTTATCATTTTGCTGGTGTCCATTCTAACAGGTGTGAGGTGATGTCTCATTGTGATTTTAATTTTTATTTCCCTAATGACTAGTGATGTGCAACTTTTGATGTACTTGTTGACCTTTCATGTATCTTCTTTGAATAAATGTCTATCTAGACCCTATGCCCAACTTGAAATAGGTTATTTGGTTTCTTGTTACTAAGTTGTATGAGTTCTTACAGATATTGTGAATATTTGTCATGGTCTTTGTAGACCAGGACCTGGGGAGTGGAGTCGATGAGAAGAGGGACGCAGGGGACCCAAGCCTCGAGTGAAACAAGGGTGTTTTATTTGTAGAAGTGCATGTTTATATATCTTCATACAAGGCAGCTTTAGGCAGTTAAAAAAAAACTGAGCAAAAACAGAGTCAAGCAAATAACAATCTTTAAGGGGCCAGAAAGCATTCCATATCTTGAGTAAGAGAGGCATAACTGAATAGATTACATTTAAGTAAGGTCATTAAATGAGTCACTGAAAGGAACCCAAGCAGGTGCCCTCTCTCATAATCTCAGTCCTGAGAACTGCCTGCAGCTCCGCTCATTCCTGTTTTCCTGGAACTGATAAGGAATAGAGAATCCTTGAGAAATGGCACCCAAAAGAAAAGAATAACATATTGGATCCCTTAAAGCTGAACGTCTCCCAACAAATATTAACTTTTTGAATATATAGTTTGCATTTTTTTTATTCCATGGCTTTTCTTTTAAGTTGATTTTTTTAATGTAGTCTCAATTGTTTATATTTTATTTTCTTGTTTGGGTTCAGGAATCTAATCCAAAAAATGAGCTTTTAAGGAGATTTATTCCTATGTTTTCATCTAGGAATTTCATGGTTTTAGGTCTTCCATTTAAGTCTTTAATCCATTTGGACTTAATTTTTGTGAGTGATTTAAGATATAGGTCTATTTTCATCCTTTTATCTGTGACTATCCAATTAACCCAGTGCCATTTATTGAAGGGACTTTTTTTTTTTCCCCCTTTGAGAAGCCTTGGCTCCCTTGGCAAATACTAATTGACCATAATGCACTTGGGTTTATTTCTGGCCTTTCAATTATCTTCTATTGGTTGGCCTATTTGTCTGTTTTGAGTCAATACTATGTTGTTTTGATAAGTACAACTTTATAGTAAAACGTGAAATTAGGAAGTATGATAGTGAATTCTGCTCTGTTCTTTCTCAAGTTTTGTTTGGCAAATTGGGGTCTTTTGTGTTTTATGTAAATTTTAGAAATATTTTATTTTTACTTTATAAAAAATGACATTGGGACCTTGATTGGGGTTTCATTGAATCTATAGATGACTTTTGAAAATATTGATTTGACATTTTAACAATATTGATTCTTCTAATCCATGAACATGGTTTATCCTTTATTTTTTTGCATCTTCTTTGATTTCTTTTTTCAGTGTCTTATAGTTTTCAGAGTAGAGATCTTTCATTCTCTAGTTAAATTTACTCATAAGTATTTTATTTTGTCAATGTTACTGTAAATGGGATGGATTTCTTTCATTTCAAAAATTCATTGCTACAGCATACCTTGATTTACTACACTTTATTTTATTTCTCATCACACACATTGCATTTTTTTCCTTAACAATAGGTTTGTGACAATCCTGCATGAAGCACCAACAGCATTTTGCCAACAGCATTTGATCCTTTCGTTTCTATGTCATAATTCGGTAATTTTCACAATATTTTATGTGCTTTCATTATTATGATGATTTTGAAAAGTGAAAATGAAAGTGTTAGTCTCTCAGTCATGTCTGACTCTTTGCAACTGCATGGACTGTAGCCTGCCAGGCTGCTCCATCCGTGGAATTCTCCAGGCAAGACTACTGGAGTGGTTTGCCATTTTGTTCTCCAANTCACTCGGAACTGTACGTGGCTCCCGCTCAGACCTCGATGCAAGTGGCCAATATCCAAAGACGCATTCTGTCCTCTCTTGCTCCATCCACCTCACTCTCATTTTTCAGCTCCCCACTATACTCTTCACCCCCACATTTTTAGGTCAGCCCTTACAACTGAATTCTAGACACCGATTTTCAGCTGCCTACAGACATCCTTCCCTGTGTGTCTCATGAAGCCTTCAAGTTCAACATATCCTGAGCCAAACAGCTTCTTATTTGACACCCAAGCCTACTTCTCTGGTTTCCCCAATCCCTCCCCAACCACGGGCCTGCGAACCTTGTTTTTATGAGTGCATCTCTATTTTCTGTCTGCAGGTCCAGTCAGTTTCAGCTGAGGCAGAGCAGCATTACGAGGGTAAGGAACCCCAGGCTGAGCACCAGAGCTCGTGGTTCTGAACCCTGACCCTGCTGCTGACTAACTATGATGCCAACCTCTCTGCGCTTCGAACGTGTAACCTACAGGACTCCTGGGACAGCTGCGACAGAGCAGTGTCCCTATCTCCTCACCACGCCAAGCATCTTATAGTTTGTTTTTTTTTTCTTTTAAAAGGGCAACCTTGAGTCGATCTTCACGGTGACGCAGTTTCTCCCGGAGAGCTTCTCCACGCCAGTGTTCATCCTTTTTCAGAGGAAAAGGGAACCGTCAGAGAGTCTCTGAGCACCACCGTCGGTAACCAACCCGCCTTTCCCTCCCACCCTCCATTCCATGTCTGGACTTATCTGGGGGAGGTGGGAACCAAAGGGCCCTTTTAGGAAGTCCAGAGAACAGCAGGATAAATAAGCCCTTACCATTATGTGAACATGAGAAAAATTCAGTTTCTCTTCAAAAGGTGATGGTTTCTCACTGAGGGCGAATGGAAAGTTTTCTTTCAAGCTCTCCAAGCCTCCTTCCAGGTGTTCGTTCCGTTCCAGAATGGCTTCCAGGTCTGCTGGCAGTTCTGGGAGAAACTGGTTGAGGTTCTTCAGGCTGGCTCTGATTTCGTCTTTCACTTCAGACTTAAGTGTCCTCATTGCTTCACTGATTTCTACTTGTTTTCTTTCCAGATCTTTCTGATTTACCATCTGCGTCTTGAGCTCCGCGTACTCCTGCTGCATCTGGCTGAGCTCCCACATTAGGCGCCGGGCCCGCTCGTGGTTGTCCTGCGCCACCTGCTCTATGGTCGCCGTCTCCTTCTGCATGGAGCTGTTCTGCTTCTGCTCGAGAAGGTTCTTCTCCAGCTCGCTGCACTGGGTCTTGAGCGCTTCCTTGAGGCTGGCTACCTGCTTCTCAGCTTTCTTTCCCTCTGTCAAGAACTGGTTTCGCAAGAGGCTGAAGTCTGCCCTCCTCCTTCTGAAGAGCCAGCAGCTCAGCTGACTTTGCAACAACTGCTGCTCCCGTTCGGAGAGCTGTCGTTGGGTTTGGGAGAGCGTCTTCTCCAGGGTCTCAAGGCCCAGCTCCGACACTGCATGTCCAAGCAGGCGGAAGTGTTAAGCAAACGGAAGTGGCAGACGGAGGGCACGCTACACAGCCTGAGGAGACAGGTCGCTGCCTTGGGGGAGCTGGTCAGCAGCTCGTCTGTGGACTCCACGTCGTCAGCCACTCCGTCTCAGCTCGAGTCTTCCCTGGCAGAGGACTCACGTCTTGGACCAAGTCAGAGCTCCTTCCATCAAGTTCTACAAGGTCCATCACAGTCAGTAGACAGTTACCGACACTGATGCTATCCTCAACTTCCTTAGGACTAAGGGAATTCATCCTTAGTACTTTCTCATCCTGCTGCAGGACGAGTGGCTCAGCCAGATGGAGGAAGAGTATCTTACCTAAATATGAGCGAACAACCTTCTCCACTACCTCACTAACGTCACCGTTAGAACACCACTTGGTTTTTGTCAAGATCCAGTCAATTCAGATGCTGAAAACTCCACTGTAGTTTATTCCACTTCTACAGTTACTGTCAGCGTTTTTGTAAGTCACTTGTACATATGGGAATATTGTATACAGTTTAAACCAGGGTCTTGTATGGCTGAGGGGTTTTTTTAACCTTTGAAATGTGTTATTATAAAACCCATGCTGATCTGAGTCTATAAACTGGTATATCTATAGTTAGAAAAAAACAACATACTTAGGGTCCTTATTTATAGTGCCAAGAGTTATTTTTGGATTTTGTTTAAAATCTATTTTCATATGAAAATAAAAGATAAAATAAAAGTGGGTCTGAAAAAAAAATGTGAATTGCTACAGTCTCATCATAAAACTCGCATATATGCAGAGTTGATTCTTATGGGGTAAACAATGAAAACTGATTTCTTGAGATATGATCTACTTCTGGTGAAAATGAAGTGAAGTCTGTTGAAATAACAGTATAGGGTTAGAATATTTAAAAATTTTAGTTGATAAAGTGGCAGTGTTTGAGAGGAATGTCTGCAATTTTGAAAGAAGTTCTACTGTAAGTAAAGTGCTGTCAACCAGTGTTGTATGCTATAGAGAATTTGTTCCCAAACAGGAGAGACAATTAATGCAGCAAACTTCATTATTGTCTTAATTTAAGATATTTCCACTACCATCTGATCCTGCAGCAACCACCACCCCGATCATTTAGTAGCCATTGATTTTAAGAGCAAGACCCTCCACCTGGAAAAAGATTATGAATCACTGAAGGCTCAGATAATGGTTAGCATTTTTAGCAATAAATTAATACTTTAAAAAATTATTAGAATATAATTGTTTTGCAATGTTGTGTTAGCTTCTGCTGTACAACGATGTGAATCAGCCATATTTACATATACATCCCCTCCCACTTAGATCTCTTTCCCTCTCCCAACCCCTTCCATACTTATAGATCACGACAGAGCACAAAAGGAGTAGAGACACAGACATAGGGAATGGATGTGAAGGCAACGAAGTATTTTTAGAATAAAGTATGTGCATGTCTATTTCACACAATAGATTACAGTATAGTAGAAACAAAATTTTTATATGCACTGGAAAGCCAAAAAAATACTGTGTGATGATCTATTTTCAATATTTACTTTATTGCAGTAATCTGGAACAAAACCCCCAATTTCTCCAAGGTGTGCCTATATTTTGAATATGCCATCCCATCCTCTCTTGGCCTGAAAGTTTCTGATGAGGAGTCGTGTTATGGGAAGTTCTCTTGTTTACTGCTTATCTATTTCCTCTTGCTGCTTTTAAAATTCTTTCTTTGTCTTTGACTTCTGACAGTTTAATTATAATGTGTATCAGGGTAGTCCTGTTTGTGTTCAACATCGTTGGGATATCCTTGGGCCTCATGGATCTGGTTGTCTGAGGAAGTTTTCAGCCATTATTGCTTTAAATATATTTTCTGTCTCTTTCTCTATTTCTTCTCCTTCTGGAAGTCCCACAATGCAGGTGTTGCTTCTTTTCATTCTGATCCATAATTCCTACAGTTTTTCATTTGTTTTCACTATTTTTTCTTTTTGCCTAACTACCTGGGTAATTTTTCAGTGTATCACCTCCAGATTGTTATTTTTTTTTTCTGCATGTAAAGTTTACTTTTGAAATTGTTTAATTAGCTCTACAGTGCAATTATTGTATTTTTCAGCTCTGAGATTTATGTGTTTATGCTCTAAAATAAGCATAAATTTATTTATTTTTTTAAATGGGTTTCCATTTCCTTATTGAACTTCTCATTTTGTTCTTGCATTATTTTCCTAAATTTGTTTAGTTATCTATCTGTGTTTTCTTTTTTTTTTTTTCCCCATTTATTTTTATTAGTTGGAGGCTAATTACTTTACAGCATTGCAGTGGTTTTTGTCATACATTGAATTAGCCATGGATTTACATGTAATCCCCATCCCGGTCCCCCCTCCCACCTCCCTCTCCACCCCATCCCTCTGGGTCCTCCCAGTGCACCAGGCCTGAGCACTTGTCTCATGCTTCCAACCTGGGCTGGTGATCTGTTTCACCCTAGATATACATGTTTCGATGCTGTTCTCTTGAAACATCCCACCTCCTGTGTTTTCTTGTGGTTCACTAAACTTACTCAAGAGGATTATTCTGAATTCTTTGTCTGACAATTCATAGATCTCATTTTCTTTATTGTTAATTGTTGGGGCTTTATTAGTTTATTTTGATGGTGTAATTTTTACTGGATTTTTTTTTCATGATCCTTGATTCTTTAGATTGGTATCTGCAAATTTGGGTAATTGAGTTTCTCTTCTAGACTTTATAGATTTGCAATGTCAGAGACAGTTCTTCATCAGTCAACTCAGTTTGGGTGTCTGTGTGTGTCTGCTGATAATATCTTTGGGCAAGTGGGGCTTGTTATTATGATCTGTTTTGGAGTGAAGCAATTGTTCAGGCTCTGAGGATAGAAATGGTGATCATGTCACAAGCTGAGAATGGTTAAATAAGACTGCTGGCTTTGTTCTTTATCTAAGTCTAGGATAGACTTCACCTTACCTGAACTCTCTGGTCAGGCTTGCTAGATAATTGAAACTTATTACTATATTCAGTAATAAATGGATCTATAAAGTAGCTTCCCCGTAGGACAGGACCCAGGGCCTGACATTTTATTGTTTGGAGACCTGAATCAGGCCAGAGTGTTCACTGAATTACCTGGTCAGGTGAGATCTTTGGCTTTTCTGTACAGATAGGGGAAGCTCTCTGCTCAAGTGCCACTGTATGTAGGGCTGCTGAATGGGCTACACAGCTTCCATGCGCTCTGGTTAGGTTCACTGGTTGGGCATGCTGACTGTTGAATGGAGCTTCAAATTAAATTTCTTGCCCAAGCTCAGTAGGGAAAGCAATTCTAAAGCTGGTAAAGCTCTTTGCTTGCTGTCTGAACTCAAGCCAACTTGTTCCCTTAGTTCCCTAGTTGCATAGAGCCACAAGATTTTGCTCTGCAAAATGTTGTTATTACCCTGTCTCTTCACCTCTCAGCTTAAGTTCCTCTGCACTGCACAGCTCCCAAGAGTGCAGATGAAGCCAAAAGACATTCTCCACAATGGCTAAGACTATGACTCAGTCTCCTTGCCTGGGCATAAGGGGGAAAGGCCACTCCAGGCTACTTTCATTTTCCCAAACAGGTTCTCCATTTGGGAGGGGCTGGAAGCTACCTGCAGTCCTGACTATGACTTAATCTGCCCACCTGTGTTTAGTAAGAAAATGCTCCATATTTAGTATAGGAACAAAGGCTCTGGGGGCAATAGTTTTGTCTGCCCACTTCGGCTTGAGTGCCACTAGGTCACACTGCTTCGAGGAGTTGTAACCAGACAGATACTAGTCAGAATACACTTTTGACAAGCAAAATTATTAAATGCATCTACCAATGGAATATTGAAATCACTCAAGAATATTCAGGGTAGAAGATAGACTGAGATAGATACCAACATTTCTGTGAATGGGGTCATGACTATAACATCTGTAGCTAAAAGCTACCAGGAAAGACCTGGTCTGTGATAACAGTCTTCTGGTATCCAGCTTCCTTCTTCTGCAATCTATACGGCATTCAGTTATCTTTTCAAAATGCAAATACAATCACATAAATCCTTTCTAAAACCTTGCACTAGTTTCCAACTACTCTTAGGGAAACGGACAAAAATAAACCCTCAATATGGTCTATCAGACTCTGTAGCCTACCTCTTTCTGGTGGCTCAGCTGGTAAAGAATCCACCTGCAATGTGGGAGACCTGGGTTCAATCCCTGGGTTGGGAAGATCCCATGGAAAAGGGAATGGCAACCCACTCCAGTGTTCTGGCCTGGAGAATTCCATAAACTGTAGAGTAAATGGGGTCTCAAAGAGTCAGACATGGCTGAGTGACTTTCACTTTCACTTTATCATAGCCCAGGCCAACCTGATAGTAACTTGGACCCTGGACAATTTGAGTTATATCAATAAGAACTGACGTTCTGAATTCCATTAAAACTCTTCCAAATAGTTTCAATGACACATTGGTATTTTAAAATATTAATGATTTTAACATTTCGTATAAGGACATTTTTTCTCACTTGTTTAGACAACATTTCTGCCAAACACAACATTAGGTTTAATTGTAGCTGTCTTTTCACTGAATCAAATTAAAATTGCATAATTTTACTTATGCTAATTTAAATTATATTTATTTCACAAATATTTCTTCATTATTAGCTTCTCTTATCCTTTCTTTCTATACATAAAACTGTCCCCATTATTCATTCATATAGCACCCTTTTGGGTATGATTGACATAATAGCTACTTAATATTAGAAGCAAAATATTTCATTTATCTGAAATACATTCAACTTAGTTGATAAAATATTCCTATATACTATATAGGAATTCCTATATCCCCTGAAACTGTTCTTCTGAAAATGATGCTTTACTAAGAAATTTTGACACTTTTTTTTTCTGGTCAGTTTCTTTCTCATTTTACTGCCACATTTACCACTTCATAGCCCATGTAATTTTGCTTTCATAGAATGGAGACAGACTGTAGATTGCTCTGTCTGTATCAGAATAGCTGCTGCCCTATTTAGCTACTGCAATTAACTCATTTTAGAAAACATTTTACTAGGCATAAATGGAGAACAAAGAAACTAAAAGGTCTTTGGATATATATATATATTTTTTTAACTAATAAGACATTTCTAGGAAATCTTGTAAAATAAGATTCACATATTTTTCTTATGGTAAAAGATAGTAAAGAGTATTTTCATGCATGTCAGATAATCCAATATTCATGAAAGAGCAAGTGATATATAGTCACAGTACATGTGTTTAAGTTTTGACCCAG